GCCGAATATGATAGGCACCTGAAGAAGCCGGCGATGAAGACGGTCGAAACGTTCTGACTAACACCTGAAACGAGAACACTATTTGGAATAAGTAAGAAAAACCAAACATTTTCCGTAAAAAAAGAAAAAAACAAAACAAAAACGCCACTTCATTTGCATTAACACCCGGTTCAGTTCGCATAACGAGAATACATTCATTTGGAAATCTGGCTAGAAAACCAGAGTAGATATCGTTCATTCGCCGTGGACAAACTTACTGGCGTTGTTTGCATACATTCACTGAAAAATAGCTATCAGTGTAGATATCATTGCGCAAACTGAGCGTGTCTCTGTAAATAGTTCTCGTGCGCAGTAATTGAGACAAATTTAGACAAGAAAGATCAGTAGAGAGCTTAGCTTTCTGTGTTCTTCCGCGTTTAGCTTTCTGCAGAAAATGTATGCAAACAACACGAGTAATGGCTGCCGCCAATGACGCGATTGAATCCCAAATTTCACTTTCGATAACTCCAAAACGGTAGATTTTATCAAATTTATCAAGCCAGATTAGAATGGAGCATGTACAATTACACATAAATATAAGTAATTTGGAAATTTTTAATGCGAACTGAGTGCGGATGAAACACTGCAAATTAACCTCACTTTCATGTTCCGAGGATGGTGTAAATAAATATCGAAATATTAACGAAACTGTCTACCACATTTCTTTAACAATCGAATGCCGAAATGCCTTGTTTCTTTAGCTTTTATCTTTTGTATTTTTTTCAAGCATATATTGTCTGGAATCGACAATGACTATTTTAGAAAGAACCGCTGAAAATCAGGTAAAGAAACATGAATTGCATTGAGGTTTTTCATCAAGGGAGCACAAAGAAACACCTTTGGAAAAAGAAGAAAGGTAAGAATAACAAAGCGAAGTGTTGATTAGCTTATAAATCTTGTTCCTGTTAGTTTGGTAAGTGATTCTGTAGTTGAGAGTGGCAGCCAATGAAAATAAACTAAGAGCCATATGTTAAACATTTTGATAAGTTCAAAGGATGACTGCAGAGAAAGATGAATAGAAAGAAGCCAATATAATGGTCCTTAACAAGGCTCAAGCTGCGTGGGTAATGGTGAGGAGAGTTCGAATTCCGATCTAGTCACATCTACTATAAAAATATACACGAATTCATTTATTCACCCAATTATGGGTTAAAAATTTGCAGGCTTTCTAGCCTTTTAATACTCAAACCATATAATAATTATCAATGTGCATTTATTTATATATTTCCTGTCCCTTCTTGGGAAGGGAGATAAATGAGCTGTTGATTGATTTGTTTTCTTTACGGCTTATAAACTTTTTGCAGGTTATTTAAATCCAGAAAATATTTTTAGTCTGTAAGAATTTTTTTGTAGATAATAATTTACTGATACAAGTCTTACTAATTAATCCATAGTTGTAGGGAGAAGGAGTAGACTCATAACTTTCCCAAAGGTATTTGCGTGTAAGTGTATATAACGAACTCCACTGGAATTGGTATTTGGCTCCCCGAATTTCAATTCTGAGCCATTATCCATTACACCACCCACAAATCGAAGCTTACAGGATCTGATATTCGCAAGCGTTCACTCATCTGATTCCAGTACTGACTAGGATTGACGTTGCTTAACTTCGGTGATCATATGTGACTCTGTTGAGTGATATTCACATAACCACTTCTATGGTTTCTGCTATCATCTGCAACCTAGATCTGCACAAAACCTGTGGACCTGATGGTATCCCTGTAATAGTCATTGTGCTTCAGAACTGGCCCCTGTTCTGTCTAAACTGTATAATAAATGTCTCGCTGTCTCTTGCTATCCTGTCTGCTGGAAGTCATTATCTGTTGTTCCAGTTTTTAAAAACTCGGGTGAATCGTCCGGTCCTTCCAGCTATCAGACTATTAGACTTCTACCATTTTTCTTTTTGGGAAACTCCTAGAGGCCTTAAACAATGCTAAATTGGCATCTCTCATCGCAGGACCTTTTCAGACAAGCAATATGGCTTCCATTTTTCATTTCAACTGCTGATATACTGACGATAATTGCGGAAAGAGTCTATCATGTCTAGATAAAAATGGTGAAGCCTGGGCTGTAGCTTTAGACATTTCGAAAGCTTTCGACAGGGTTTGGCATACAGGTCTTCTTCACAAACTGAAAAGTTACGGTGTTTCCGCACAAATTTTTGAACTGATCCAGTCTTTCCAATCAAATTGTGAAATGAATGTTATCTTGAACGGCTAATCTTCTAGATCCTTTTCTACTAATACTAATGGGTGCCTCTTAGGGTTCCATCCTTGGTCCTACTTTGTTTTCAATTTTGATTAATGGCCTTCCTGATGGCATCAGCTTTCAACTTCGTAGCTACGCTGATTACACAACCATTTACTCCTGTCTTCGTATTAAGCTTGATCAGATCGATAAGGTCAAAATGGCAGCCAATGTAACAAAACGACCTTCAACCTGTTGTTAAATGGGACAAAAG